GAAATTAAAAGGACACGGGAGGGGATAATGTCCAAATCGCAGTGTCGCGGCAACCATTGGATGAAATGATTAACTTTAGATACTTGGGCAGTTTGATAACAAGTGATTCCAGGTGTACCTTGGACATAGTTTCACGAATCGCAATGGCTAAAAGGGCTTTCAAGAACAAAAAACATCTATTAAAAGCAAAAATTTCAAAAAAGACTAGGAAACGATTAATAAGTGTATATTTGGAGTATTGCATTGTATAGCAGTGAGACGTGGACAATGACACAGAGAGACAGAGAACGATTGGAGGCATTTGAAATGTGATGCTGGAAAAGAATAGGGATGTTAAGAATAGTGAATGAAAGGAGAAGCTTATAAAAGACAATAGAGAACCGAAGGGGGAAAATGTTTGGTCATCTGATGCATCACGACGGTTTTCTTAGAAGCATAATAGAAGGAAAGAGAGGTAGAGGAAGACCGAGACGAAGTTATTTAGATCAAATATATATAGAGATAATCTAAATATCAGATAAAGGAAAAAGTTAATGTCGTGTTGAATCGTGAAATCAAAGCTAAAGCGCTAAACAGATATGATTGGAGATTACTCCACCGACAAGAGCTTAGCTCTTAAATGAGAAGAAGAGAATTTTCTTTTAAGTTATTTTCAGGATTTTATAGAATCAGGCGAGGTACATCCTATCGTATAACTTCTTTGGACAATATCATTAAGTGTATTATATATTTTTTGTAACATCGTCATTTATTAGTAAATACTTACACCATTTGATCTATCAAAACAATGTTTCCCCATTGTCTTCCGGTTACTCACCTTAACAAGTCCCATGAGCTTATACTTTCACCAGAAGTGCAAAATGTCATTGGTTGTTGAACCACGAAAGATGATTGCGGTACTCGGGAAAGTTATTTAGGCTACACCATGTTGTTTACAAGTCATTATTGCATGATGATTTATGTCCGCGTACGTACCGAGTTTTATTTATAGGATGGCAAGTGACTGGACGTGCGCCTGGTGGTAAGCGACACGCCTATCTATAGCAGTTGCAGTGCCACTCAGAGCTTTAAAGCGCAAAGATCTGAGGGGCACTGCTGTTGCGTGCTTGTAATTTCACTAGCACCCTTATCTTTCAAAATTGCTATCAAGCAGTACCTAATGCTCACATTACTGCAGAAATAGGTAAGTATAAAACTTAGAACTAATCTAGAGCAAATTTAGAGCTGATATTTCTTTCTTAACTTTGTAACAAACCTACTTTATGTATTAGACGGCCTTAATGACAGAATGTTTACTTTTAGTTCACTAAAAATCCGCTAGATGGCATTGATCAATTTGGCGTTAATTCTGAATCGCAGTGTTAAGATTTTGCATCGAATGGTTACTACTCTCACACAATTTTGTTGTGTTGAGAAATCGGAGAGATCAGAGAATATCGAAAACTCAGTAAGGCAAACTAGGAATTGAGTCCCTTCTTGGGAACGCTGCCCAGAAGGTCCGGGCAGCGGGATATTGACGTACTTATCATACAGGGTGAAACTTTGCCCATCATACAGATTGAAAAACAAGCGTCTTGGAACGGTTTCCAGGAGTCGAGTCCCTTCTTGGGAACAACTATACGGACTTTCCGCACATAGGGTGTAAAGCAATTGACTCCAAAATAAACAATGTTCTTCAACATCTTGTAGTTTGACTGGACCGTCGTAACGTCATCCCACGGCAGAGAAACCCTCCTTCTTTCCATTTTTAGCCAAAGGCAATTATTGGCTGCTAGCTTTAACGTGAAGTTATTTTAGACTTCATTCCCGATCTCTTTTCCCAGTCGAAAGGAATATTACTTTCACGGCTTTTCTCTGTATTAAACCCGTATTTTCTATTGATGAACAGAGGTCTAGAAAGGGAAAGAGTTTAAAGTTACACTCGGTGGGTTCTACAGGTAAGATATTTACAATGATTTGCATGTTGAGAAATATAATAAATAATAATAAAGGATTCGAAATAGACTTTTCACAGATGTCGCTACGGCAAAAAAGTCGTTAAAACCAAAACGCGTACGTTGACGCGTTTGACGCCATTGTGTGCAAGAGATGCGCGTCACTGGTGCGCTGCGTACGTGTCAGTCCCAACTCTGACCTTAGGATATTTTTTTATGTATTTGCTAACAAATTATGAGTCTGGTTACTTGAAAAAAAAGAAAAAATATCTGCAACAAGCACTTAAAAAATTTCAATTCAATGAGTAAAAGTTATCCGACTTCCTATTTCGAGATGTCAAAGGAAGTATTAACCAGTCTATGTGTATCCGTATCTCTGTTGGTCATTAATGGATTTATGCTGTGCAACGATGTCACGGTTCCAATCAATTATGAAACGCAACAAATTACTATATCCATGAAGCGGTTTCAATCCATTCGACGGCATGGGGTTTGCAATCTCCACAGTGTTTTATTCATGCGTAGTATGAAGCCATTTCATTTTGCCTATATGCGGTTTTGAAACAAATTAGAAAAAAAAGAAAATCTGTTTTGGTTTTTTCGGTGACTTTTGACAAAATACGCAAATCAAACCGTGCCGGACGCTATGCCGACTAAGCCAAGGAACGAACCAGTGGACGTCACGAATTTTTCTATCTTTGCATTTGGTTTTTGATTGATTGATTGATTGATTGTGGTTTTCAACGACTTTTTAGCCGTAACGCCATCTACGAAAAATCTATGAAAGTATTTCATCACCCAGTTAGTTAACTTTACAGCTACCAGCGCTGGCTAGAGTCGCTATTAACTGTAATTAAATTTGTATTGAATTACTCCACTAGTTTGTTATAATTATTAATACAAACATCGAACACTTAGAAAAAATTACTAATAAATTATAACAAACTAGTGCAGTAATTTCACAAAGAATAATTGAATATCAATTCAATATAAATTTAACAAACATGATAAATTTATCTAAAATAAACTTTTAAGTTTGTTTTATACTATCTGACACTTTTTAGAGCTGTATTGGGTAGTAACTTAAAAGTGCAAGCTTTCTCTCCGACGACTCCCGCATTTTGCACAGAGTTGTCATCGCATAGAGAGAGCTAGTTAAATTACTTTTATTTTTGTATAAAAGTAAAATCTCGTCAGATTATCAAAAGTCGTAGAACAAAATGATGTCAGTAAAACAGTCCTGTGAGGTTATTACTATTTTACGAAACCCTATATTCTTTTATTGCTTCATCATTTTATTATACTTTGTTGTTTTTTTTTTGTTTTGTTTGTCTAAGTATTATTAATCTCTTTTTTTATCTACGTGTTGTAGCGTTGCAATAAATGTTTTTCTATTCTATTCCCATTTATTGGTGGTCACTCTTCTCCAAGAAATCCTAGGTAGTCTGTGGTCGTAACTAAATCTTTATTACTAAGGGATATAAACGTGAGGCGGGGTCTACCACGTCCCTTAGGC